GGTAGTTGAGGATCTGGATGTTCCTCTGTGCATGGAGAATGGAAGTCTTCATCAATAGCATTGGGCAGGATGCCTAAATCTTTTTGGTTTTAGGCTTTGGGGCTTTCTTTATAGGGAACCTCTAGTCTGGCTGATCAGTTTTGATCAGCAGGAGAGTTCCCTTTTCTTGACAAGTACAGGCCCTGAGCCATGGCAGGGGATTGTGAACAGTGCAGAACATGACTTTATATAAGGAAGTTGATCAGGATGAATTTAGGTGAGTGCTCCGTCACTTTGCCCCAGACTGGGCAGACGATCTCAACCTTAGAGGTCACTCTGGTGGTCTAGTAGGGCATAAGGGTGGGCTGTCGATTTCATAGAGAATACCTGACATCCTGAGGTTTTGTTTTCACCCCAGAGTCCTCTGAAAAGACTTTCTTGACATTGTACACCTTGCAGTCTGAAACAGTAGGCTTACGCTGACCTTCACCCACAGCCCTTCCCTAGAGTGTGTGTGTGATGCCTTGAGTGGTGTTGCAACAGAGAAAGGTGGGTGCCCCTTCTGAAGGAGAGACCATTCAAGGACCTGCCTGGCTGTTGGCTGTGGCTAATGTTGGGATCCTTGGGAAAGGAGAAGTGCCAGTAGGCTTTGTTTTATGGTTCAAATCTCAAAAAAACAAACAAAAAAAAAAAACCAAAAACAAAAAACAAACCCTCGCCAAGCAGAACTTAGTTGTACACCCAGTTGTACACTTAGTTGTCCATGGAACCCCAAGTTAGAGCCCACTCAAGCTATGTAAATCTGAGGCCTGGAATGCTTTTCATGCAGCACAGACTCAATGACCTATTGCTTAGGTCCCCTGTTCACAGTCAGTCTGCACATGCACCCACACGCATACAGAGGTCATACATTCCAGCCTCCCAATCATGAGGGAAAAATCTATGTGAAACTCAGACAGATGAGACCACTGAGGAGTGAGCAGTTCCTCCTTCCTCCACACCATGGATGGCAGCCAAACGGGTAACTTCGGGAATCCCTGGGGCGACTCTACCTTATTCAGAGGCACAAACTGGTGACATTCTGCCTTCTCCTACTGGTTCAGTGAGGTCTCTGCTGTCACACAGAGGCTCCTGCTCCTTGCCCGCTGGGAGTTGCTGAGAAAAGAGCTGAAGGGCGCATCTTCTCATCTGCAGGTGGGAGGGGGTGAGCCCTGTCACGACAGCAGGCCGCTACTGCTGACCCAAAAGGGTCAGTGCAGTGTTTTTCAGCCAAGGAGCCAAGCATCTTGCAAAAAAATCTGGGCTGAAAGCTAAATGCTCCACACAGAGAACTTTGAAAGACAATACTTTGGCATGCTAGAGGGCTGCTGAGAACCACTTCCAAATCACCCACCCGTAGTCAGCTTAGAGAGTAGTTTATAGGTACTGTGAAAGCAGGATTATGAGGCTGATGGAAGGCTATTGTGTGACTCATCACATGAATTCAGTCACATAATGTCAAGCAGGCTCACTATGTGGTAGGCAGCAGGCGCATAGGCACAAGTCAATAATTGGTGTTTACACTTCTGCTATAAAATGTCTATCAGTTTGCTATTGTCTAATTTTTCCTTTACACCTGGGTATTCACATACATTTTTACATGAATCACAGAGTGATTGTGTGCAGTCACAGTAATATAAACTCGTATAGAGTGGTACCAGTGTCACCTCTGCCTTTCCACTGCAAAGCTGAAGCAAACTACCTCTCAGGGCTTCATTCCACCAGCTCAAAGGCTGAGTCTAGGGCTGCCCTGATTCTTGGGTTAGGAAATCTCTTCCCTCCGCAGGCTCCATGCTGTGCTCCTCAGGCAGGCTCAGAGGCATGTGCGGGCCCCTGAGGCAGGGTGGTGCTCACGCTCCACTTGGGGTCCTCAGGGCTGTGCAGCTGCACTCACACGCTGGCTGGGGAATCTGCAGTAGATGGCAGAGGCCGGCATGGAAGCGCTCAGCTCCTTCCTCTCAGGCCGGATCTGAAGACACCACAGGGAGTGTGGTGCACTTGCTGGGGTCCACAGTCCTGCCCCTGCTCAGGGTGAGGGTGGGATTCCTTTGACATCAGTGAGGGTTCCCCTTTCTTCTTGTTGATTTCTATGACCAGACTTTAAAATCAGCATGAAACTATAAAATCTATAGTGAGATTTTAATAACAGAACTGAAAATGTAGCTGGATTTCATCTTTTCTCCTGAAAACAAAAATATTACTAAAATGGGACGGGAATTTAGCTCAGCAGCATAAGAGCCTGCATGCAAAGTGCAAGGTCATGGATTTGATTCGTGTTCATAAAGTAAAATTACAAATAAACACCTGTATTTCTTCTGTCTCTTCCAGCTCAAAGATATAAGCTTTCTTTCCATTGAAGACAGGGCCTCCTGTGTACTTCTGCCTGGCCTCGAAGTGCCGATGATTATCCTGCCTCAGCCTCCCAAGGTCTCAGATTATAGGCGTGAGCCACCATGCCCACTCTACCCAATATCTTCTTACACTTGAGTGCTCTGTGAGAGGGGCGCTCAGAATATGTCCTCGGAAGCACACTGCTAGGAGTAAAAGCACAGAGCACAGAGCTGCATGCCTGTCTGTAAAGCTGCTTGGAAGGCTGAAGCAGGAAGATTGAAAGTTCCAGGCCAGATGAGGCAACTTACTAAGACAGTGTTTCAGGAGAGAATTTAAAATCCTGGGATGTAGCTCAGTGATAAAACACCTGCCTAGCAAGGATAAGGCCCTGGGTTCAAATCCCTAGGGCTGCAAAAGTAATAAACACAAATCAGGTCCAGGACTGTAGCTCAGTGGCACGGCACCTCCATGGCAAGTGCTAGGCCCTGAGTTCCTTTTCTGGTACCGGAAAAAAGAAAAAAGCAACCAAAAAAGTCAGCACATATCTTTGTCAGTTTTTCCCACTGAGGGTGCACTGTTACGTGACAGTGGGTGTGTTCGGGGCAGGGGTGCTCCTCCTTCCAGATCTCAGCATCCTGAACAAAGAATCGCACAGCACACACCGAAAAGGTGGCAAGAGCGCACATTTACTGCAGGTGGAAAAGGAACCGCTGGGAAAGCTAGGTGTGCTGGCACACACCTGTAATGCAGCACTGTGGAGGCTGCGGCCAGAGGGGCACAGCGGCCAGCGCGGGCTCCAAACTGAATCGCTCATCGGGATCCGAAATTCCTGGATCAGCTTCTGCGTCATGCAAGTAAGATACACAGACATTTGTCCCAGCAAAAATTCGCCTGTTCTGCCACCAAATTGAAACGACACTGTGGAAGGCCTCTCCTGGCTCCAGCCAGATGCAAATGAGGACAGAGAAAACAGCTTTCTGATTGGCTCCAGGTTCAGGGCTCAGGAGAGGGCGGGGCCTGGGTCCTGTGCTCTGCTCATGTCCTCTGGGTTCTTTAGGCCTCTCTAGCAGTTCTTCCTGGGCTTTGCCCCAGCCCTACTCTCCTGCCTCAGTGGCCCCAGCAGTGCCCTGGAGCCTCTCCTCAGGCATGGGAGTCTCTGCGGATTCCACGGGTGAACAATGCTACCCTTAGATAGTCTTCATCCGCGTCCTCAACCCTCCCCTCCTCTTTTCCTTTCCTTCTCCTGTCCTGGGCATCAGGTCCAGGCCCTCAGCCACGTGCCCCCTACTGCAGCCTGGAGAGGTTTCCATCACAAGTGAGGCTGAGCGCTTTCCATGAAGGGAAGGGGCAGCTATCTGACTTATCTAGAACTATCTGCTCTTTTGGGCCTTGAAAACAAATTGGGACTCTGGTCTTTTTCTTTATCATTTAAAAGTTCTTTGTATATTAAGGAGACAAACATCGTGACTATGATGTAAACTTTAAACATCTTCTCTGAGATTCTCCCAACATTTATTTTGCTACAGCCTGGTGCTTTTCTATAATGGAACTAAAACCAGAGGGAGCAGTCTCAGCTGCGTTCTGAGCCCATTTGTGTATTTAATGTTACTTTTTGTCTTTGAGGTAGGGTCTCACTATGCAGATCAGAATGGCCTTGCACTCACTATGGAGCCCTGCTGGCCTCCAGCTGGAAGTGAGCCTCCCACCTCAGCCTGCTAAGTCCAGGCATTACAGTCGGGTGCCACCATGCCTGCCCACTAGCTCTTTTAAAATTTAATTTAATTTAGATTTTGCAGCAGGATCTTGCTAAGTCCCTGAAGTTCCCAGTCTTGCATAGTGCTGGAATGGTGGGTATGCACTGTCACACTGTACTGAATCATGGTTTCTTAAGAAATTTCTAAAATAGTTTCTGATTTATATGATACATTTTATCATATTATTCTTGGATTTCTCTAGCTCTTTCTTTTTTTTTTTCTTTTTTTTTTTTTTTTTTAGCTAGGGACTTGCTGTGTAATTCAGGCTGGCCTTGAACTAATAACGTATCATGTCTGGCCTCAAACTTCTGGCACTGCTCCTGCTTCAGCCTCCCCAGGGCCATGATGACACCTGTGCACCGCCAGGACCAGCTCATCCAGCATTTTATTATGAACCGTTGCAAAGCTACAGAAAAACCAAAGAAATTACACAGTGGCCACCTAAGCTCTTCTACCGACACCGCCCATCCTGCTGTCCCCATCACTCATCCATCTGCCTTTCCAGTGCCTGTCAAAGTCCCCGCAGGGAGAGTGCACTCTGCAGCTAACTCAGCCTACACTGTGGACCCTTATTAGTGGCTTTTTTGTGGTTGCTTTAAATCTTCAATATTTAGGTTATTCCCACTCCCAAGATGGAAAGCATGCAGGGCATGGTGGTGCCCACCTGTAATCCCAGCACTCAGAAGGCTCAGCAGGAGGGTCAGCGTGAGGTGGAGGCCAGCCTGGGCTCCACAGCCGGCCCTGTCTCAAAAACCAAAAATCCCAGACTGAAAGCTCAGAAGATGGAAAAGAACTGGCCCCTGAATTCCAGCCGTTCCATGTCCCTATTTTCCTGGGGAGGGCAGATTCATTTGAAGTTTATGGTGTGTACAATGGAAGGAAGGAAGGAAAACAGTGTTTACATAGATTGAGGGGCTCCATCCTACAAGTATTTTATTATGACAGCCACGTAAGAGTCAACCCTTTGGAAACATCTTCACTAAGTAGACTGAGGTTTAAGGGAAGGGAGGTTGGACTTGCTTCCTGCAGACAGAAGACTGACTCCTTGTCGACTGTGCAGAAACCACCTAAGCAGGCCAAAAGGCAGCAGGAAGCTCTGTAAAGGAGAGAGGCAGAGTCAGCTCAGCCTCCCTTGTGCCTCCCAATCAGGCCGGAGCAGGGAGTGCCCGCCCAGGAGGCACCTGCACTGCGTGCCCCAAGCAACCAGAGACGTGGGAGGAGAGGCCCAGCGTGTCCAGCGCCTCTCGGGCGAACTCGTCGGCGTCCTTCACAAGCAGCCCGGTTGGCAGGTTGTGGGTCATATTTGTGGAGACCAACATGGGGCTCACGGTCTGAAGCACAGGAGGGAGGGGATCTGAGAAACAATGCTGGCCCTCTTTCTGGAGATCCAGCCACCAGCCTAGTCTGGGTGGGTCTGCAAGACCCCTAAACCTATTTTGCTGACAGATGTGGTCCTGCCCTACACCCTGCCCCAAGAGCCAGGCCCCACGTTAAGGCCTAGATCCTGCTCCACACCTAGACCTGACCTAAAGTCTGGACTCCGCCCCATGAGGCTTAGACCACGCCCCTGAAGTTCTGACCACGCCCAAAGGAAACAAGCCCCGCCCTTGATACCTGGAAAGGGCCCTGTTCATTCCCAGCTCTCCCTGAGAGTGAGACCACAAATGTGTGACCACAACCCCACAGTTCCCACCAGCCCATGGAACCCCAGGTGACAGATCCCTCTGACCCTGCTTCCTCTGCCCTCTCCTCCACAGCTGCTACCCCAGCCCGATCCTTGGAGCCTCCTCTGCCTCCTGTCCAAACCTGGATGGTGATACCCTGAGGAAGGTACTCTTCACACACCGCCTCCGAGAAGAATCGCACAAAGGCCTGTGGGGCAAGGAGAGGAGGACCCAGGAGCACCTGCCTACGCCTGGGGGGGCACCCCACTCCATGTCCCAACCCCACCCAGATTCCACTACAATCTCCCTGCCAGGACACAGGGGGACACATTTGGGGCCTGGGCTTCTGTTACCTTAGTGGCTGAGTATAAGGCCCGAAGTGGGATGCCTCTTCTGCAGCCAGCCTGGGACGACACATTGATGATGACACCTTTGCCCCTGGAGCAGGGAATGGCATTGGAAGGGGTCACTGCCCCTGGGAAGAAGGGGCGGGGTGACTGTCCCTCCCTTAGCAGGAGCCCTACTCTCAAAGGGTTGGGAGACGGGAGACTGGCACCTGGCATGGTGCTGCATGCCCATAATCCCAGCAGCCCTGAGGCTGAGTCAGGAGGGTGAAGAGCCCCAAGTGAGCCTGGACTGAAGACTTGGAAACGGGGAGGGTCGGGAATGGGCAGCCTGGAGGCGGGGGCTGGGGAATCCAGCATGACCACAGCAAGTGGCTCTCACCTGCTGACCATCTGGGGCAGGACGATGCAAACCATCTTCGGGGCAGAGGAGGCCCCTGTGTTTCCCTAGACCTCCTCACCCAGGCGCTGTCCCAGTCCCCTCAGGGGCTGACCAGGGCACCCGCGCCCCCAGGGTGGTGGCAGCTGCACTGTCCCTGGACATGGCCCTCATGGCCCGACTGACCTGTGCCACCGACATCGCGTTGCAGTTGATGATATCTGATACGCTCTGGGGATGAACACGGAGCCCGTCACCGCCTGCTTCCCAAGCCCCCACACCTCCCACGTGTCCTGTCTTCCTAGCTTAATCTTTCTTTTTCTTTTTCTCACTTCTTTCTTTCTTTCTTTTTTTGCTTCCTTCCTTCCTTCCTTACTTCCTTCCTTCTTTTTGGCACAAGGTGTCGCTGTGTAGGCCCGATTGGCCTCAGACTGACTGTGTAGCCCAGGTTCCCTTCAACTTGTCCTGATCCTCCTGCCTCAGCCTTCCCACTACTGGCATTACAGGCCTGTGCCACCACACCCAGCTGTTTTTCTCATTTTTAAAATTTAGAACACACTTTTTGGGCTTGGTTATTAGTTTTGCTTTTTTCTGCTGTGGATTATATTTCATTTTTTCTCATCACTTGTAGTTCAAGGATAAAAAGAAAGAAAGAAGAAAAGTGCAATAAAATTTCAAAGCACGTCAATCAGGGCAGCAACGGTACATGCACTGTACGTTCACCCAGAGCACAGCACATCTGCATTCAGTGGTCCGAGCTATATCGGCACAATCTTCCTCTGCAGTGAACTCAGAGAAACCCGTCCTCTAACTGTGTCCACAGACATATGTCCACCTGCACACATGCGTGTGTTCTGTTTAAGCTTCTCACACTCTCACATGTGTGTCTCATTTCTTTCACTAACAGAACACGTTTTGTGAAAACACAGTCCCCAGTAGAATCTGAAACACTCCCGTCCTTGGACCTCTCAGCTCCTCTTGTAGAAACGCGCTGCTGTCTGAGATTCTCACACACGAGGATTCTCAAGGCTATTGGATCCCAGGCCGGCGAGGTGCTACCTCCCTATGACTCTAACAACTTGGGAGGCCGAGGCAGAAGGATCACAAGTTCAAGGCCACCCTGAGCAGCATAGTTTTCATTTTAGTGAGAACTTGTCTCAAACTAAACAGGGCTCAGGAGTAGAGCGCTCCTGGATTCAGTCTGCTGAACTAAAATAATCAATATAGTACACACACAGCAAAGTGCACACACCTTTACTATGGAAACTGAAGAGACCCCAACTGTGCTGGTGCACACCTGTAATCTCAGCTGTTGTGAGGCTGAGGCAGGAGGATCCCCCATGAATTCAAGACCAGCCTGTACTACACAGTGAGAGTCTGGTTCAAACAACCAAAAAAAAAAAAAAAAAAAAAAAAAAAAAAAAAAAAAAAAAAAAAAAAACAACGTAAGAAGAGAAACAGAGAGATTGACAAAGAGAAGGAGATGGAGAAGCAAAATCAGAACAAGGTGCGGAGAAGGAGAAGAGAGAGACAACGCTCTTTCTGGGCTCCAGTGTGTGTCATAGATAGAACTTTTCTTTTAATAAATTCTTCCTACTTTTAGGACAGAAAGAAAGACGCGCAGATGATGGGGACCCCTTGCTTCTCCACCGAACCACTTCCCCAGGTGACAGTGTCCTGACCCTGGGAGGGCTGTGATCTCACCTTTTCACCATGAGGACTTCCTGGTTTAGCATTTGTGAGGCTTGTCCCCACGTGTCTCGGTGACAGGGCCCCGGGATTCACTGCTGGGATTTTCCACCATGTGAATTCAGTGCACTTTATTACCCAGTCAGCATAGGTGGGCACTGAGCTGTTCCCATGCTGGCACGGCCAAGCATAACTTACCCGGCTCACGCTCAGGGCTGCTGGAGGACGCGAGCCCTCGTGTACAACGCAAGGGAAAGGAAGGGCCAGATGGGAGCCTGTTGCAGTGTGTGTGTGTGTGTGTGTGTGTGTGTGTGCGTGCATGTGTGGGGTGTGTGCCTGTGTCACTGGGGATTCAACTCAGGGCCTTCTCACTGACCTGCAGTACCAGCCTTTTGGATGTTGTTTTTATTTTTGATTTTGTTAGGGAAAGTGTTCTCAGTATTTTACTAAGGTCCTCTATGTCATCCCAAACTTGAAATACTCCTACTTGGGATTTCAGGGTGCTACAATTCCAGGCATGGGCCACTTTAGCCAAATAAAATTAACAACTTTGCCCAGGAATGGTGGCACACATCCATTATTTCAGCCCTCAACAGGCTGAAGCAGGAGGATTACCTTAAGTTCAAGACCAGCCTGGGCTACACAGGAAGACTCTGTCTCAAGAAAAACCACCTAGAAATCTTTATACATTAAAGGATAGTACCAACAGAGAGAAAGGTAATCCCAGTGGTAGAAAATATTTTAAATCGCGAATCTCATAAAGGAATGAAGTCCTAGATATATAAATAACTCTCCAGTAACTCCAAACCACCAGTGAGTCACACGAGAAATCACACAGAAATGAGAAGACACTTAGAGAACCACAAAAATGAAATGAAATAGAACAAAAACCACACAGCATGGCAAAACTTACTGGACTCAGCAAAACTCTGCTGAGGAGGAAATGTATGTGGGGGAGAAAGGGCTAAAACCAACAGTCTAGAACCAGGGCAGGTAGAAAGAGAAATGAAACCTGCAGCTAACACCAAGTCAGGAAAACAACCCGGAAACTGGGAAACTAACAGAGACATGCGGTGACACACAAAGAAAAGACTGAAGTTACTCAAGTCAGAAATAAAAGTGAACAGGCCAGGTGTGGGGGGTCAGGCCCCTAATCCCGGCACCTGGGAGGCTGAGGCAGGAGGATCACTGTGAGTTTGAGGCCACTCTGAGCTGTCTGTCTGTCTGCCTGTCGGTCTGTCTCACTTTTTCTCTGTCTCCTATTCCCTCCCATCTCTCCTCTCACCCCTCTAGCGAATCCACATTATCCTGTGTGGCTCCTTCTGTACAGTGGGCATCCACGAATATGAAAGGTGAGAACCAGGCTCAAGTCCTACAGTTGTGCAGGTTGAGCACTGCAAAAGGTCCCCTCATTCAAACACAGACCTTGTGTTTGCTGTAAACAATTTTCCAGCCAAAGGCAATGAGCAGCCTGGCACTGGCCCTGGGGACGCCGGTGTGCTCTGCGTCCTGTCCAGCAGAGGGCAGCAGAGGGCCGCAGCAGCCCGGACTCACCTGGCCCAGGTCCTCAAGGTCCAGCAGCTTCCTAAAGACTCCTCCACGGCCTCCATATGCCATGCCCACATTGTTCACTGCAAGAGAGTTGGCACGGTGTCCCTCACAGCCCCGGGGACACGGAGGGGGTCACAGGAGGGCGCCCGGCGTGCTTCAGGTGAGCGAAGCAGGCTGGCAACTCACCCAGGACTCCGATCTCCAGGCCCCGCAGTCCTGCCTCGATGGCACCGTAGATCTCCAAGCCCCCGGTGAAGTCGGCCTGGATGATGCGCGTGGACCTGCCATGCAGGCGCTCTGGAGGACGGGAGGGGTCAGGCCCTGCCCCTGCCCCTGCCCCTGTCCCTTATCCACCCCTGTGCACCCAGCAGCAGATTCGGGATATCAGGGGCACCCTTGACCCCAGACCAGCGAGCCCAGAGCTTCCCCGTGGCTGGGCGCTCACCAATCTCCCTGGCCTCCTGCTCCAACTTGCTGAGGCTTCTACTGATGAGGACTATGTCCAGCCCCCTCCTGGCCAGCTGGGGAAATTCAGTCACTTACTCAGGCCTGCACCCCTCCAGCCCTGCACCAGGAGCTGGGGTGAACCCAGGGCCTTCACCCTTAGTTCAACTGTCAACCCTTTTTATTTCTTCAAACACAGGCCCTTCAGTCATCGAGACTTGGTTTTAGCTTGTTATCCTCCTGCCTCGACCTCCCAGAATGCAGGGACACCAGGTATGCCCAGTGACTCTGGCCTGCGATTCACATTTATTCATTCACTCAACCAATAACGATTACCTTTGTCCTGGCCTTGATACTCAGTGTTAGAGCCCTGAGGTCGCAGAGCTGGACAGAGGACAAGAGCAGTGGGGAGGGGGAGAAAGATCCAGGGAGGGCAGCTCTGTGCACAGTGATCAGAATGAGATGATGTCTCTATAGGAGGCCGAGGGCCCCAGGGTCCCAGGCAGGCTCTGCCTCTCACCACTTGGCTGCCTGACCATGTCTTTATTCTCCCTCACTCCTGTGTGCCTAGCGAGCACCTGCTCCCTGCTGCGGGACTGGGGACTCATGGTGCTTGGGGTACCCCGGGCACAGCCCCTGCCACACTCTTCACTGCAAGGTTTCTCTGCAATGCACAAACCCAACCCTGCCCCTCTGCAGCTCAGAACCTGCCCTGGCTCCCCAGAGACCCTGCCACAAACCCACAAACCTCTTTTTCATGGCTGGACCTCCTGCCATGTCCTTCTGTGAGAGGCCAGGCACAGCCCTGAGTCCTGGGGTCCCAGCCAGCAGCCCCTGCCTTTTCTGCTCCTGGGCCTTTGCACCTTCTGTTCCTTCTGCCCGAATCCCCATCCCCTACATGCTGAGCTAGAAAACACACGTGATTGGGAGGGGGTGTGCAGCAGCATCTCAGGGCCTGACTGTCTTTCTCAGCCTGGACGTTAAGGGTGACAAGTGATGGGACTGACTGTCCCTCAGCTGTGAATGAGACTCTGCTCAGGGGTCTCAAGAGCTCCATGGATCTGAGAGGCTGATGCTGCTTGTCCTCCCTGGACACCACGTCCCTCTGTCCAGGTTGTTCCCTTCAGCTCAGGAACCTAAACTTGTCTTCTTGTCACTCAAAACCCCAAGAAGAGGGCCTTTGTGCTGACTCTTATCTAATAGGTCCCTACCACTCAGACTAGTCGGCACATAGTCAGCAGTTTCCACATTCAGAGACTGCTACAGCCATGGTCCAGGGGAGCCCGGCCACTGCTCACAGCAGACTGTGGCATCGTCCATGTTGTGCTCATTTTAGGTGCGTGCAGAAGGAGTTGTGAGGTCAGGCACACTCTCACTGAGATTTCAGAGGAAAGCCTGGGAGGCCGGGCTGCGAGCCCTACACGCACAGTGCATGAAGCTATAAGGATGAAGCCCGGATCCAGGGAGTGGGGCACCGCCTATGAATGTGGCACAGGAATGCAGGACATGTTCCAAGGACAGATGTAGACCCTGAGCAGGATCCAGCCTGAGAGAGACGCTGTGTGGGTGGCAGCACACTAAGCCCTAGGCTGGGGCTGCCCTCAGCCCTCAAACTCACATCTCAGAACCAGGAACCCAGACATCGTCTATAGAGCTGCAGGACTTAAGCGTTGCCTTTGGGGACTTGGTCTCTTTTTGTTCTGATTTTTTTTTTTCAGAAGCCTCTTCTGCTGCCAAGCGGGAATGGGAAGCTTTACCTTGAGACTCTGCACTGGGAGATTACGTAACCTACTGCTGACTTTTACCTTCACTCACTGCTTGAGGCTCAGTTTTGGTGCTGTCCTTGCTGGAGATGAGACCTGGCTAGCAGTTCAGCCTGGACCTCAAGTCAGGACATAGCTCAGGCTGGTCTGGAATTCCCAGTGGTACTCTAGACTCAGCTTCCCAGTGCTGGGGTCCTAGGCACGGGCTAGGCTGTCCAGTTTTCAGCAGGCACCTTCGACTGGCACTTCTAGGAAACACGGGGACTGCTGAGACTGTGGGGAAGGGACCACTGTGCTCTGGCTGCACACGGCATAGTCTCCTGTGTTAGGTGAAATTACTAATTTAGGGCTGGGTTACTTGCAGACAAGTATGCTTTAAGGAGATGAATTTGGGTGTCAAGCTGACAAGAGGTAAAGTGTGGGTTGTGAAGGTTAATGAAGTCACCTTGACTGTCCTGGGAGCCATGTGAGGCACCTGTGTGGCACACTCCTGGGTGTGTCTGCACGGCCACCCAGATGTGACTCCGCCCCATATCCGTCCCTGGCCCCTTGCTCTCTGGTGGGTGCTGTCCCCATGCTCCGCTTCCCAACCTATGTGAACTAAGCAGCTCTGCTCTCCCAGGCCCTCCCACCACGCTGTCCCTGCTTTGGGGCCAGGCAGCCATGCACTGATTCACAGGACACCAGGAGCCAGCTGGGTACAGTGGTGCCCTCCTGTCATCTCAGCACTCAGGAGGCTGAAGCAGGAGGCTCACCACGAGGCCACGTGGGTTACCCTGTACATTCAAGGCCAACATGGCATGCATAAAGAAGCCCCGTCTCAAAATAGAAATGAGCAAGAAACTACAAAACTGAAATCATAAGTCAAAAAAATCTCTCCTCCTCTCAGCTCTGGGTGTCAGGATTGTTGTCCATCAGTCACAGCGCTGACTAATACCGTCATGGGAGAGGAGCCATTAAGATCATTTTGTTAGGTGAGGTCAGCCAGGCACAGAAAATCTAACACTGCAGGATCTCAGTTCAGTGCGGAGCTGAGCTTCTGGCCGTGGGGAGAGGAGAGTGGTTAATCGGGGCTGAGGCTGAGGAGAGAAGGGGACGTACTGGGCAGCAGACATAAAGCTTCCATGAGGAGGAATAAATTCTCCAGTTTATTTTAGTAACAGTGTGCTGCATTCTTGAGAGGAAGGGAGGTTAACTCTGGTAATCACACAGAGACAGAGACAGACAGGAATCCATCAATGTCATTTACTAAGGAAAACTATCCCAATCACCTCATGAGATGCAGAAAGTTGAGTTCACAAAAATCTACCTGCATCCCTAAAGATAACCCTCAGGAAGCCAGTACAGAGGACCCTCCCTAAGGAAAAGCCCCTACCAAACGAACCAGTCACAGAAGAAACTAATCTCCTGCTGACTTTTTAAAGCCATGCAACATAGCCATTCTTACAGCCTCTCCAGTAGCATATTGGGTTCCCTGTCAGTTCAAGAAGGCAAGAAAAAGAAAGAGAGAGATCAGACATAGAAGAGAGGGTGGGCATAGGGATCCATGCTTGGAATCCAAGGACTAGGAGGCTGACACAGGAGGATCGCTGTGCATTGGAGCATCCTGGGCCAAACAGTGAGCTCAAGGCCCACTTGAAATACATAGCAAGACCCTGTGTCAAAAACAGACAACACATCAAAACAAAACAAAATAGAACGAACAACAAAAGATAAGAGCTAACCCTGCTCAAGGTGCTGGTGCTTTTCTGTAACACCAGCAATCAGGGTACTGAGGAAGGAGGATCTCTGAGAGTTCCAGGCCATCTTGGGGTACACAGTGAGTTTAAGGTTGGCCTGAGTTACACAGTGACTCAAAAAAAAAAAAGAAAAGAAAAGAAGGTAAAAAAAAACTGAATGAAAATAAACAAACACTGTTAAAAGACGAGAAGGAAGGCTTACAGATAAATATGAACAAATTATAGAGAAATGATTCCATTTGTAAAAATGCCTTCCCCAGAGTGCCCCCCTGGCTGCCAGTACACTCACCCCAGCCTTCCCACTGCTCTCTGAAGAGCCCTGGAGGTCCTCTCTCATGGCTCTCAGGGTGTGACGAGGAATACAGTGACTGCCCCTCTGGGTGCCATCCAGGGGAAAGGCAGACTCGGGGAGCCCTTGCCCTGCTGCCTCACCCACCCCATTCACTGGATCTGCCACCGTGGAACTCCTGGCTTCCCCCCAGTCACCATCACCAAATGCTCACCCTTCTGAGCTGCTTCAGCACACGGAGGCAGCCAGGACAGCACAGCTAACGCCACTCACAAAAGAGGACTCAGGCCTGCTTCACAAGCCTGAGAATGATGGGATCCGTCCTCTTTCCTGAGTGTCTCCTTCACCCTGACCACCACCTCTCACTCCATGTGCCGGACCTTGCTTATGTCCCTCTGCCCTGGCTGGAGGATAAGCTCCACGAGGGCAGGACTTTCACTCTTGCAAAAACTCTCTTGTGCTCACTGCTGCATCCCCAGGCCCAGGAAGATGCCTGGCACAGAGTAGGTGGTCAATAAACAGGATTTGAAGGAATGAATCGGGGCAATAATGAGAGGGATGAGAGGGTGAGGGGGCACTTAGCTCTCCCCAGGGGGCTGGTGACAGGGAAATCAGCACGGAAGCCACCACCCGACTCACCTCGTGTGCGTAGGCCTTGCCAATGCCGCTGGTGGCTCCTGTCACCACTAGGAGAGAGAAGAGGGGGCAGGGGGTGGGAAGCTTCCCCGCTGTGGGTCCTGTCGGGGTCCCCTGAGCCATCCGCAGTCCCCTGAGGTTCATCCTGGAGTGGGTGCCTCTGCTCCACCCAGAGCCCCCTCTGCTCGTGCTCATCACCCTTGCTGATCCCTGCGGTCTGCACATGGCCCCAGCCACTGCTGTTGTTTTCCAGACAGGGCCTCCCTATGCAGCCTGGCTGGCCTCAGTCTGTCCTTGAGCTCCTGCCTCAGCCTCCCCTGGCTGGACACCCGGCTTGGCGCATGTAGCTGTGCTGCACACGGGTGACCAGAGGCGTCCTCCCATGTCCTGTCCATCACCTGGCTCCTCTCTGCCACCTGCTCCTCTCACCTGGACCGCGCTGGAGACTTTGTGCCTTCCTTGCCCTGCTAGCACCAGCCTCTTGCTCTCTTGCTTCCATGAGTCCCTTGGCCGCTGTGTGCATTGGGACGAGGGGTTCCCAAGGGTCACCTGCCACCTGTCCTCTACCTTGCAGTCCCCGCCCGCACCTTCTTGGGCGACCCTGGTCCCTTACCTGCCCAGGCTCCCTGTGCCCGGAGCCAAGCATTGCCCCTCCGGACCTGGGGCAGCAGGTACACGTACACAGCGCGGGCCACTCCCCAGGTCCCCGTCAGCAGCAGCCAGGCGGCCGTGATGGCCCCCAGTGCACTCAGTGCGTCCCACTTGGACTCCATTGCAGCTCCTGCTCTGCAGTCTGGGACCTGCAGCGTAGGGTTGCTGGTCAGCTATTGAGGATCTACTGGGCCTATGAGCTGGCAGTACAGGACACCCCTCCTTCTGCCCCCAGAGCTACCAAAAGTTATCAAAGTCCACCAGCCTTGGCTCCACCAACTGAGGTTGTGGCTGGGGACAGGAGCTGCATCTGGAGGCTTCTCTGACTTTCTGAAGCTGTCTCCTCAATCCCCTACCAGCCTGCCTGCTCTGAGCCCCTGACCTGGTATTATTTTTTGTTTGGGTTTTGTGCTGCCTTCACACTGGGTCTCCCGGCACAGTTCAAGCTGGCAGTCTCAGTTACTTCTCTTATTGCTGAGACAAAGTACCCAGCACCCAAATGGAAGCAGGAAAGCTTTATTGGCTGACACTTGGGGGCTGTTTCACCCCATGACCTGACGGCCCAAAGGCAGGTGGCACAGAGGGGGGCACCGCAGAGAAGAGATGGTGCAAGGGAAGAAAAGGACAGCAAAATGCAAGGGACAGTGGCGGTCAGTCATCACACACAGGCGCCCTCTTTCTGCCTGGCATATTGTGTCCAGGCTGCCAAGGCCAGCAGCGCTCACATCTAAGGAGGGGCAAGCTCACTCCTACCCAGAACCATGCCGAGCCCCTCAGTGGACTGGTTTGTATTCACAGACACTTGATCCCAGCATCACAAAATCAAGACCCGGTCACCTTTGAAAAGCCCCATCTGTGACTTGCTTGAGGTTTTGGGGAAACACTGAGACACAAGCTGTCATACGGTCCTTAAATTCACTATGCAGCTCAGATTGACCTCAAATGCCTGACAATCCTCCTGCCTCGGCCTTCTAAGGGCTGGGATTACAGGCCTTCTCTCTTGCTTCCATGAGTCCCTTGGCCACTGTGTGATTGGAAGGAGGGGTTCCCAAGGGTCACCACGCCCAGTCAGACCTTCCTTTCCTACCATCCTTGGGAGTGGCCAAGGATGAATCATGAAGGCCCCCCTCTACACCCGCTTTGGGGCCACCTCTGTGCCCTTAGTATAAATTTATTCTGAGGTTTACAAAGTGACTCTGAGTCTTTACATAAGAAATTTTTTTCTTGGACTGAGCTGCTAGTGGAGTGAAAAGATCCTATTTGTCTCTGGTCAGTGGCTTTGATGTGGAAAACCTTCCATAGCTGCAAAGATTTGAGAGCTCTCACTCTAAACAAGTCTCTCTGGTGCAGTGGGAAGATTGTACGGGAAGAGCACACAGCACCCGGGGCAGAGAGGAAGCGTGCGATGGTGCGCACCTGTAATCCTAGCCAGTCAGAAGCTGAGGCCGGAGAACTGCAAGTCAATGTCCATCCGGGCCATTTAGTAAGGTCCGATTTCAAAATAAAATGTAAACGGACTGAGGACATAGTTCAGTACTCCCTGTGTTTAACCCCTCGTAATGGGAAAATAAAAAACTAAAAAGAAGTGGACCTGGAACCCAGCTCCTTACAGTGAGGTAAGCTACCCAGAAAGTGACAATATTTATTTGGCAGCGACTTTTAAACGGAGCAGCCCAGGAGGTGGTGCTGGCACACGTGTGTAATCCCAGAACTTGAGAATTTGAGGCAGGAGAATTCCCGCGAGTTTAAGCCTGACCTGAGCCACACAGTGAGTGTGAAACTTAGCTGAACTACATAGAAAGACTCTGCCGCAGTCTGTGGGAGGGCAGCTCAACCTGCAGACCCATGGTGACTACTGGTGACAAATTAACTTCACACTGTTATGGTACAAAACGTATTGTGGACATTCCTTATGTGACAGCTACAGTGACAACTACTGTGGTCAACTAAACTCACCCATCCAAAATGCCGGACTACTGAGAGCTGTCTCTAAACTGTGTCTGAACAGCTCCTGAGACCACACGGATGTCACACAGTCACTCAGGACCTTAAGGCAGCAGGCTGCTGACTCATCCAACATCAGCTCGGGACAGCAGACACGGGAGCTGGGGTGCTGGTGACCTTTCCATGTGCATCACTCCCACCCCAGTTAACCATGTGGGTTCCTAAGGGGAGGCCCAACACCTTCCCATGGCGCCTATCATAGGAATCTGGATGCAGGTATCACTAGTCTCCCAGGCCGCCTGCAGATCCAACTTCCTCAGTTACACATGGAGGCTCAGACCTCACCTTAAGTCACCTTAATGGCAGCACCCACTGGCTGAGCTTCAGACCTGGTCCTCCGGCATCAGCCTTCATCACAGGGTCCTTCCTATGACAGGAGCTGTTGCATTTTCTTACATCCAGCGAGGTTATCTTTACGTGGAAAGGGGTGATGGGCTGTCCAAACCTGTGTGAGGTTTGAAAGAAGCCATGGGTCCTGTCTCCATCCGCCTACCTGGACTTTTATCCAGCAACCTGATGACTGCTCTAACGGGAGGCTCTGGAATAGTGTGTTATAAGGGGTCCAAGTTCCCTTTCAGTAATTTGGACTAAGCAGAGGGAGTCCACAGGCCATTTTGGATCCGCTTCAGTCTAGGACACAATCTCATTTGGGACAAAACATAGAAGAGAAAGTGGGTTTGCACTGTGTTTGGGGTGGTGACATTCTAGACACACATGCTTTGCCTGGAACTGTGTTCTTCTTCTCCCTTTACTCCTCTGCATCCTGAGGAACAGAGACAGTTTTCCCAGTTTGCAGTGTCAGCCTGCACTGGGCTTGCATGAAAATAAAGATATATTTTAGGCTGTGAGGATCCCATGTGGTCTGAAGAAGTATTATGGCAGGTATTCTGGCATTCCCTGCGTCCTGGAGTCCTTGTGTTCCTTTCACTCCTGGGAGGTTTAGACATATTACCCTTGGGAGGGTCGATTTTACCTTAGCTGTAGGTAGCTGGAGGTGAATCATGGGTTTCGCACACGGGAAGCACTGCCAGGCTCAGCCCAGCGCCCGCCCCACACGGCACTGGACAGCGCCGCCCTTCAACACTGACCTCTGTGTTCTTAAACCCCCAGCTTTCCTATGGGCGCCAACATCGCCCAATCAGCTGTCAGAACGTCACTCTGCCCGCCCCTTAACTCCACCCCCTTCCACCTGGATAAAGCTCAGGGCTTCTGTGCCTTCCCCAGGGCGCTTGCAGTCTACTGCAGCCCTCCTCTGCCCCAAATAAAGACTATTTCCTTTCTTTGCTCTTGCTTTGCTACCACGCCGAGGAAGTACCTACCAGTAAGCAATCTAGGAGTTATATTTACGTAACAGAGAACAAAGCAGCCTTTCCAGAGGATTCTCAGTCTGTTGGAGTTGTGACCTAGAGAGTGGTAACAAGCGTAGGGATCTCTCTCTCGTCCTCTTCACAGCCCAGAAAGTTCAGTTTTGTAATCCCTGGAAACGTTATTGGAATTCCAGTGCGTTAATTCCGGTTTACCATTTTTAGTGCAACCCATGGTGAGAATAAAGACTCTGAAACATATTTATACTTTTGGGGGCAAAAGCGTCCTGAGGCGGCTGCTGGTGACGCTTTATAAACAAAAGGCGTGACCCACAGCCTAACACAGATGTCAGCTGGTGCCCAAAGGAGTGGCTGGAGGATGAGTGACAGGGAGAACCGCAGGATGCGTGAGCGCTGGGAGCTGGGCTGTGCAGGAGGCCTGGAAGCCCGTCTGCACTGTGCAGAGAGATGGGGTGCAGAGAGGCCAGTCTGCATAGCACAGCTGAGGCAGCAGTTGGGGTTTAGGAGGCTGGGGCTGCAAAGTTTCCTGCTCTGGGAAATCATTGCCTCTTGTCTGGAGGCTTGCACCCAGTTGAAGATCCTGTCGTGATTGTTCTCCATCCTGCCAGGCTGGAGCATGGTTTTCTGGGATTCATGGGACAGAGAACCAGCAACCACCGCCTAGTGTGAAAGCTTACGCGTCAGCACCTCGGGTTTGCAGGAAGAAACCGGAAGTCAGTGCTGAAGGGAGGCGCTGTGCAGAGCCATGTGCCTGACCCTCTGAGACACTGTATATATCGCATCACATTCCTTTGTGGTTCCGCAGTCTCCTCCACCAGAAGACCAGGTCCTCACAGAGTTATGGGATGTTGCTGCTGAGGTTCTCCGATATCCTGGCTCCTCAGTGACCTCAGAAGGCTGCAGCCAAAATATTGGCTGTCCTCCTACCCCATTTGTCTCTTTAGTTTTGGTCCCCAAATCTCAGTTTTTGAACATCCAGAAGAAGTTATTCATAACATTTCAGTGTAATAAAGCAGTAAGGTTAACGTTACTATCTTATCTGAATATCAAGTACCTTAGGTCATGAAATAAACTCTTTCTTTCTTTCTTTCTTTCTTTCTTTCTTTCTTCCCTCCTTCCTTCCTGCCTTCCTTCCTTCCTTTGATACTAGAGATCAAATTCATTACCTCACATTTGCCCAGCAGGCACTTGTGCCACTGAGCTATAAAGTACCTTTGAGAATGGTTATTTCCATCGATCCTGGATATTCTAGTGCTTAAATCCCTGAAGAGAGTAAACAGTTTTGTATTTTTCTTTCTTTCTTTTTATTGGTACCAGGAATCAAACTCACGACCGCCTGCTTGCAAGGCAGGTGCTTATCCCACTGAGCTAAATTCCCAGGTATGGTATGATTTTGACCAGCTGGCCACTGAGGTAGAAGCATGCTTTTAGATGTATAACCCATTTTAAATTTTGAGCTAATGATCCAAAAATTGGAGAGAAAAAATTGTGGAGCTCTAATTAAAAAATAACAGTTCATAGATATGACAAAGAAACACATGTAGACAATCTGTGTAATTTATACATAGAAACATACACAGCTTAACAGACAAACACCTGACACAATCAGAGTGCACTCAAATATATCTGGCCAATTTGAATTATAATGATTCGTTTATCATTTTTACATCCATAAGTATAAATAGACTAGTGGGAATTCTTTTGTAGGTCAATTAACAGAGATCTCTTGAAATGCATATCAGAAGGCATAAAACCTCTTGTATCTGTGGAAGGAGAACCTGTTATTACAGCAAAGACAGCTATTAGGAAATCATAGGGATGAATCA